CGCGTCTTACTACTACGCTACTGTTATACCCTGATGGAAACTAGTTATATATAGCCTACATACGGAAAGTATCGACGTCACAACAAGGTTTTGGAGAAAAACTCTGTAAGGTCTTGCTGGATTCGAACCTGGCAGCACACCTACCTTAGGCTCTCTTGGAGTCACGCGTGTCTTACCACTACGCTACCGCTATACCCTGATGGAAACTAGCTATATCGTCTACATACGGAAAGTATCGACGTCACACAGCTTTGGAAAAACTCTGTAGGTGGTCTGCTGGATTCGAACCTGGCAACCTCAGGCTCTTGAGTCACACGTCTTTACCACTACACGCTACCGCTATACCCTGATGGAAACTAGCTAATATCGTCTACATATGGAAAGTATCGACGTCACAAGTTTTGAAAAAACCCTGTAAAGTCTTCCCGCTGGATTCGAACCGGGGCCTCTGGCTCTCGAGTTAAACTGTCTTACCATCATGCTACTGCTGCTCTCTAGTATAAACAGGCATTACGCTGTAGCCGTATAACGGGGTGAGGTGCGCTCCTGTGTGCAGGTGCAGGTGTGGTCATCCGCACATGCGTGTGGAAAGTATCGGCGTCACAGGTTTTAGAAAAACTCTGTAGGTCTTGCTGGATTCGAACCTGGGGGACCTCTGGCTCTTGAGTTACGCGTCTTACCACTACGCTACCGTTATATCCTGATGGAAACTAGCTACATCGTCTATATACGGAAAGTATTGACGTCACAAATTTTGAAAAAACCCTGTAAGGCCCTCTGTTGGATTCGAACTGGAGTCTCTGACTCTCGAATTAAGCCGTCCTACCACCGTACTACTTACCTGTGTGTCCCCATCGCTTTCGAACTCGAAAAATTAAGTTAAGTTGGGTTTTGTTACAACGCATTGGAGATCGCAGGGAAGAGAAAAGAGGTGGAGAGAAAAGAATATACAACATTTTTATAAAATAAATTTACATTTTATTTTTTGGAGTTACATTCATAGCTTTGCAAACACTCGTAGCATTCAGCGTTTGTTATAATCTCGTGTATAATTTCATTTAAATGAATCGTAGTCAATTCACGGAATACAATATTAAAATATGTGTCTAAAAATTGTAAATTTTTCATTTAACGTCGTACATTTTCCTCGATTTCGCGATATTTATCAACGAGCGTCTGTTTTACGAAATCTTCGTTTACACCTTCCTTCGTGAGATTAAGTTCTATTTCGGCTACTAAAATACATTTACAATTACTCACAAGAGCGGCAACCGCTTGTAAGTGCTCGTATCGGGTGTCGATACATTTTGTGACAGTTTGCAGACCATCGAAAGATGTCTTCTGCATTATAATATTCTCCGTATACAGCTTACGCTTCTTCAGCGGCGGTTGCTTCAGATGCGTAGACTCCTCCGATGTCTTCTTCGCAGGTCCGCTCTCGTCTAGCATTTTCCCTCGCTGACTCACCATTACAGCTCATGCACCGTACGCTGAGGTAAAGTTGATGCTGATATTGTTGATGATGATAGGGGTTGGTGTATTCTTATTTTCCCCACACAAATAAGAATTTGCAGAGAGTATAATGTCTTTAAACTTCTCCCACGTATTCAAATCAAGGAGAATTCCTGAAGACGTGTTCCCCATGATCCTAATCGTTGGCTCAAATGGACCCATGTCGTACGTGGTGCGCAATCCAACCTGCATCCTCTTAGTGTCCGAATTGTTGAGCGCGTACGTCGTACATAGAAGCATGTTACGGTCGTTTCCGACTTCTGTAGAGAGACTGCTCGTCTTCTTTGACGTCTTCTTGAGAGCGGTGTCCACGTTAGCGCCGGACATTTTTCTTCCAAGAACTTGTAAATAACTTGTAAAGAACTTGTAATAACGAGAACTAGCTATGCTGCAAGTAGAACCAATGAAGCTCGAATGCTTCACCAGTCTCAGCTCCGTATGGCTTTCCCCGTAGAGAATAGAAAAAAGTAGTGGGGGGTGGTGATGCGTAGGCGTAAAGGTTTACAACTACTTATCTTTTTCAAAATGATGTACAAAAATTGTATCATTAACGTTTACTTAGGATGGTAGATAAGTTCCTGTATCGATAACATACAGTTTCTGAAACCGCTTCTCCGGGGACGATTAGATATATTTTGTTATATTAGGTTATTGTTATGTTAGATTAGATATACGCGCTACGCGTGTGGGAGAATTTACCGTTAAGATTACACTAAAAGAATTGTTAGGGCTTTACTAAAAGGAGATTATTACCGATAATTTTTTTCATCTTTACTTTTCGAAGATATGATTTGGGGAAAATTTTAAAGCGTAGAAAATAGAGTAGAGGAAAGTTTCTGAAAGCGCTTCTCCAGGGCGATTAGATATACCTTGTTATATTAGCTTATTGTTATGTTAGATTAGATATACCGCTACGAGTGTGAGAAAATTTTCCGTTAAAATTACACTAAAAGGAGATTATCACCGATAATTTTTTCATCTTTACTTTTCGAAGATATGGTTTGGAGAAAATTTTAAAAGCGTAGAAAATAGAGTTGAGGGAAAGCTGACGAAGACACTGTCTTTCGTCTTTTCGTTCAGTTCCTCCGCAACAACAGGCGCGTATTGCAGCACCTGCTTAAGTAATATCGAAGAAAGTGTTGAGAAGATGTCGTTGCTCGTTGAAACCGTTCGCGAGTGTATTATCGTGGTATCGATTATAAATCCTCTCATCGAACGCGAGAGGTATTTGCGCGAACTCATGGCTAATAACGATGAGTGCAATTATTTAACGTTTTATAGTTTCGCGGCCTCATGCAGTAGTACTCTGCTGGGAATGCTATTTGCATGTGGGCATTTTAAAAGCGATCAGCGACTTTGTGAAATCGTTGTGGATATTGTGGAAGCTCGAAGATTGTTCGGAGAAAATGAACCAGACATCGGTAACCACGTCCGTGACATGTTCCTTACTTCATCGTAAGTCTTTTATTATTCATTCTTAAAGCAACATAAGAAATAATTCATATTGTCGTCGGTTTTCCCATTAACTTTTATCTTTTCTCTCGTTCAGTCTTTCTCAATGCTTCTCTCGAAAACGAAGAGCATCGAAAGAGCTTTTCCCTGAACAGACAATCTCACCGCCCGCATTACGACATTCCAACAACGAAAAAGTAGAAGAAACGTTGAGGAATGACACTGTCCACAATTCATCAGCAGTCTCTAATTACACAACCCGTGAGGAGATGCATGATATTGGGGAAATATTGGCTGAAGAGGCACAACACAGCCGTCTCCACGCCAAGCCCTTCGACATTCGTTTCTTGCTCGAAAACTATCACGTAGGTAGGGTGATATTGAACTCGTAATTCATTTCTACGCGTCATGCGTAAAATTTAAGAAAATTAAAATTAAATTTTTACAGTGCAACAGGGTGGAGGGGGCGAACAGTCAGATTTCCATGACGTAGACAAGCACAACGAAAAAGAAAATGAGGACGTAGGAGAAGGAGGGGAACAATCGAACGCACCGGAAACCACCCTAATTAGAGCTAATATTAGCGAGACCGACTATAAATTTATTCAAATTTATGGTGAAAAGATGCGTAAATTTAGAAAATTTAATATTCTCGGTAGGGAAGCGCGCATCAAAATTAGGCCTCTCCCCGACGATAACGATATCGTGCTTTACCTCGAAAATGCTTTCCGCAAAATCTATGCCTACGCTGTTAACTCGGTCGGTCTAAACGACTACGTCGGATTATCGTTTGCTTCAACAGACTTAACTCGGGGACCTGCAGGTTTATCGTTTCGCCCAGCACGTGACTTGAGCTATGGAGATATTTGGAATCTTGTGAGCTCGCTAGTTCAAAGCGCTGGAGGTCACGATATACTGGAGCATTTTACTATTAATGTTTTCAATGTCACGTTACCTTCGGGGCAAGGCGCAAAACCGAACAAATTAACGCATGAAGGGGTTGCGAAACGTTCGATCCTTATTATAAACAATACAGATAATCTATGTTTCCCGCGTTCGCTTGTAGCTGCAATGATTTATAGCGAACGCGGGAATGTGCGCACTGGGGAGCTTCACGCAAAATGGAATGCTGTGAGAAAACAGAATTCTGTGATGCAACGAGAGCTAGCACTCGTACTCACGCGGAAAGCTGGCGTTTCTATACCTGATGAAGGGTGTAACATTCCAGAGTTCGAACGTTTCCGACTCCATCTCGCAAGGTACGATACGACGATCACTGTTTATAATTTTAGCTCTTTTGCTCGTAGTGCGCCACCGTTATACGATGGCAGCGGGATGCTCTCTAGGTCGCGCGGTTAGACATAAACTAAATATCATGTATTACGAACGCAGTCGCCACTTTAATCCAATATTGAATTTAAGAGCTGCTAGTGGAAGTAGGGGTTATTGCAGGGGGGTTGCAACCGTGGATATAAACCTGAAAGGGGACATCGGTGTTCAAATGCGTATCTCCGGTGTTTCGCCGTTCCGTCGTGTGAAGAAACGATTCAACTAATCCATTGTAGCATGTGTCAACGGGCGTTTTACAGTAGCGCATGCTTCGAACGACATCGAGTCCCAAAGTCATACAACGTCGAGACAACATCGAGTGTCTGTAGCATTCTCCGGATTTGCAACAAATGCGGTCGTTTACAAAACTCAAGAAAAAACATAAATGTGGTATGATTTATTGTCGTATTTGCGCGTCGTCAAAACCACTGAACTACCTATGTTTCATGCGCCCGCTTCGTCACATCGACGGATTATCGAAAAATCCAACGCGAGCGGAAAATACTAGTGAAACTGAAACTGAAACGGTGGATGAAAATAAGAACGTAGAAACGAGCGAACGCGAGTAAGGTCGCGTCGCATTTGTGTTTTATGATTTTGAGACACGGCAGGATGATGTGGTCGAAGGCAGCGAAAATGTTAAAACGCACGTGGTTACACTTTGTGTCGCACAGCAAATATGTGATTCCTGTATGGAGATAGACGACATGACGGTGCGTTGTCGTTGGTGTGGCGTGCGTGAATTAATATTTCGCAATGATCCGGTGAAGCAATTTGTCGATTTTGTCACGAGACCAACGAAGAGCTTCAAACAGATCATTTGCATGGCACATAACGCTAGCGCGTTCGACTCTCAATTTATTCTCCGCTACCTGGTCGAAAGTAACAACTACGTTGAGCCAAAATTTATTTTAAACGGTACGAAAATTATACTATTAACCGTTGGTCAAACTAAATTCATAGACAGCATTAATTATATGCCGATGCGATTGTCAATGTTGCCAAAAGCTTTCGGGTTGAAGGGTATTTCAGGCAAAGGATTATTCCCTCATTTGTTTAATACCGTCGAAAACCAATATTACACCGGCCCATTACCGGATATTCGGTATTTCTCACCAGATACGATGAAACTGGATGAACGTGAAGAGTTTTTAGCCTGGCATGCGGAGATGGTTAGTAAAAACGTCGAGTTCGATTTTCAACGAGAGATAGTAGCCTATTGTCGCAACGACGTGATATTCTTCGTCGAGCATGTCTCGCTTTTCGTAAAATTTTTTTGGAGCGGGGAAAAGTATGTCCCTTCGAAGAATGTACAACCATCGCTTCCACTTGTATGCGAGTTTTCCGGAAAAACTTTTTGCGTGAGAAAGAGATAGGTATCATTCCGACGGGGGGTTACAGACGCGGTAATAATCAATCGGATAAAGCTCTTCAATGCGTTGCTGGAAGGAACGCGAACTCGGGCGTGTTATAATTCATGCTGGTAGAGGACGGGAACAACGTTTATCAGATGGTACATTAGTTGACGGTTATTACGAGTCGGAAAATCCACCGCGAAGACATGTTATACAATTTCACGGGTGTTTTTTGCATGGATGTCCTGCATGCTTTCGAGTGAACCGCGATAGACCACTCTCGACCAGTGTACACGCGGATACGATCGACGCATGCTACGAACGCACACTCTCGTCAAGTCGTCTTCAAAAACAGGGATATTTCCTTACGGAGAAATGGGAATGCGTCTTCAATCGAGAGCTGCGTGAGAATCAGGAGATGCGTGATTTTGTAGAAAATCACCCAATGCTACGAATCATGCCCCTCGATCCTCGCGACACATTCTTCGGGGGCCGCACAGGGAATATCGTCACGCGGTACGAAGTTACGGGGGATGAGAAGATACGTTACGTTGACGTATGCTCTCTATACCCCTATGTGCTGAAGACAGGCGCTTTTCCGATCGGACATCCGGAAGTTTACGTGGGCGAAGAGTGTTCCAACTTAATCGGTGTGGCTCCTGATTTTAACTTTACTACGGTGGAAGGACTCGTACAATGCAGAGTACTCGCACCACGCGAACTCTTTCACCCCGTACTACCGTTTCGCACGCAAGGTAAATTATTGTTCGCACTCTGTCGCAGCTACTGTGAAAAATTCTCTCAAATAGCGTGTACACAAGAGAATCCAGCCGATCGTGAATTCGAAGGCACTTGGGTCTCTTGCGAGCTACGAAAAGCCATTGAGAAAGGCAATCGTGTGACATCTGTGAGCGAGATATGGAATTATAAAATCTCACGATACGATCCTAGTACACGGCAGGGCGAATTGTTTGCCGAATATATTAATTGTTTTCTACAGCTTAAGCAGGAGGCCAGCGGTTGGCCGAACGAATGCGAGGATAATGACAAGAACGCAAAAGAAAATTATTCAAGGGAGTATAAAGAAATTGAGGGGGTTGTTCTCGATAGGAGTAATATAGTGCGGAATCCCGGTCTACGCTCGATTGCAAAGTTGTCTGAATTCCTTCTGGGGAAAATTCGGTCAACGTTCTAATCTACCGAATACAGAGATTGTTAGAACGCGAGAACATTTATTATCTTTGCTCACAAGTCCTGAGCATGAAATAATAAATATTTTGCCTATAAACGACGACGTGATCTACGTCACGTGGCGACTGCGACAAGAGGCGCTCGTACCTTCTTCGATGACAAATGTAGTAATAGCGGCTTACACGACGGCGCAGGCACGACTAAAATTATACGAATATTTAGAAAAATTAGACCGCCGTGTATTATATTATGATACCGATTCCTGTACATATGTGAGCACCGGTGACCCCAATGAGTACGAACCGCGTACGGGTAATTTTTTGGGTGATATGACGGATGAGCTTGAGAACCATGGTCAAGGTAGTTACATAGAGGCCTTTATATCCGGAGGCCCAAAATTTTACTCCTACGTTGTACGTACCCCGCAAGGTAGAACTCACGAAGTTTGTAAAGTAAAGGGGATAACCCTAAACTTCGAAAATTCGAGATATATTAACTTTAGCAGCATAAAAAATTTATTAATAGCCGGAAAAATAACCGAAAACGAGAAAGATGATGAGAGGGAGGAGGATTCGCGGAAAACATCGATAAATTTACGTTTTAGAGCGATTCGACGTACCGCATTTCACGACGTCGTAACGAGAGACGAGAGCAAATCATGCAAGTCTGTGCTACTAAAACGTAGATTCGACAACAACACAGGACACTCTCTGCCATATGGCTACGTGGCGTCGTAAGAGAGTAGTCGGTTGATCCTTCTCCTCTTTCGAATCTGAACACTTATTTCTAGAGAATAAGAAAATGTATAAATGTAAATATAGTGTTAAGTATTCTGTGTAAAAATATACGACTGTTTTCTCTCAATAATGACTTATCTGTATATTGCGTTCACAGGGATATGAGCTAGTGGTCCTGTCATGGAAGACTCCTCGGCGTGGGGTTATAAGTCCATCACCGTTTCTTCTTTTCTTCAGTATTTATGTAGCTTCACTAGGTAACAGAATCAATCATTTAGCAAAATGGACGTTCGCTGGAAACATCCTTGGACATCTATCGTTTGCGGTCCTACGGGCTGTAGGAAAACGGTTTTCGTAAAGACTTTTCTTCGTTATTTACCTGCAATGGCGGATACTCGTTTCGACAGGATCCTATTATGCCGAGTGGCAAGAGGCTTACCGTCAATTACAGCAAGAAGTGACGAAATCAGGCCGTTGTATGATAGAATTTCGAGAAGGCTTACCGCGCGCGGATGATTATTCAAACGACCCTTTTGTCGCGAAATTGGTGATAATAGACGATCTCATGAGGGAATCGTCATCGTACGAAGTAATTGTCGATCTGTTCACAAAGGGGAGTCATCACAAAAATCTTAGTGTTATACTCATTTCGCAAAATCTATTTCATCAAGGACGAGGGCAACGAGATATTTCTCTCAATACGAATTACATCGTGGTGTTCAAAAACCCCCGTGATCGTGCTCAGATACGCCACTTGGCCAGGCAGGTATATTCGGAAGATTCAAAAAGTTTCTGGAAGAAGCTTATTATGACGCTACATTGTTTCCACATGGATATCTGTTGTTCGATCTGAAACAATCTACTCCGGATGAGTATCGGTTTCGCACATGTATCCTTCCCACCGATACCACGCACTATGTTTACGTTCAACGAGGATCCACCAGAAGTTACATATAAAACCCGTGCATATGCTTATTCTGTGACAGTCTTGTCGTCGCAATGACAATGGGTGGTGGTAGCGGAATGGATGCGAAAAAGAACGATAAAACAGTGAGTCTGGCAAAACGATCCATCGGTGCGAAAAACATCTCTCTCCTGAAGGCGTTGTGCTACTTGACGGAGAAACAACGCTCTGCCTTTCTGCGAGAAGCGGACAGTGATTTCATTAGATGTATTTGCGAGTGCTCCTTCAACACACTCAAAGGTAACGTACCGCTCGGCAGTAGGGAAAAAAATCGTCTATTACGTTACAAAGCAACGTTACGTCATATCGCTAATAACCGTGCCGATTGGAGAGGTAAACGGAAAGTGATAGTACAGCGTGGAGGATTTCTGCCTTATCTGATTGGCTCTATACTCGGTGCTATATTATCTAAAATTATTGATAATTAAGACTGTTCGCGCTTGAACCATGGAAAGAGCTAAGAAGATGGTACTCATTTCTACGGATAATCTTGAGAGATTACAGCAGCAGACTCATACATCGCCGACCTCGCTGTCGTCGTCGTCGTTGGCGTCTTCCTCAACTACGATTCCCTCTGTTTTGACAGATAATCCCACAACTGGGTTGAACATAGCATCGGTAGAGAATGAAAATACGGTGCGTACTCCGGGTTCCGTCCTGTCACGTCTCGACGCAGAGATGCATAGAATTCTCAACTCTCCGGTCCTCGGAGGAGCGCGGGAAAAATGGAGATTGTATAGAGAGGTGCTTCAGCGATATCTGTACTTTTTTTGAGAGCGGGAAAAACGTCGATTACGCGGAAAAAAAGAAGAGAAACCCGATGTTGGTGGTGCGGTCGACGATGATGAAAACGCTGGGGAAGGGGAAAATACCCCTCGTGAAGATGACGAATACGCTGACGGAAACGCGGTAGAAGAAAACACAGGTATAGATGCAAATGAAGATATTCCCAATATAGAGACCGGAGTACGTCGAACGTTGAACGTTTCTCAACACGTACGAGCCGATACACGTAGTTGTCACCACCGCACCAACGAACAGAAAAGTATCGGAAGGATACTGAATAAAGTGCCAAAGAGTTACCGAGTTAAAGCGCGCAAGTTGTTAGCACATTTGTGTGATGCGGCGGTACCCGGTCGATTAAGCTGGGACAGACAAGGAGTCGTAACAATAGATGATAGAATTCTGAGAGGATCGAATATCATCGACCTCTTAAACGACGCGGCTCGTGAACGAAAAACCACCAGAGTAGTAGCGAGAGTACAGTTTGCACGCCTTTTGCGTGAAGTGGGTACACCTCCGGAATTTGTAGGAAATCGAGAATTACTGGAAGAAGTCATGGACGAAAGTGATCTTTCCGCGAGATTGAGAGAAACTCTTCCGAGAGGTAGCAGCATACCGCTCCCATCACCTAACGAGCAGCTTTGGTCTAAACGTAAGATTGCCCAGACGTCGCTTGAGGAAAAAGATCACGAGGATGGACGGTCTCTGTTTGTAACTATCAATGAGAATAGAAATAAAACACGAATGAGCGGAGACACTTCTAAACCAACGAGTAAAAGACGCGTGATAGATTGGAACCCGTTAGAATTGAGTATAGCTTCTTCGCCGACTAACAGCTATGCACATCGGCTTCCACCAACGAAAGGACGAACGTGCAAACGTACTATCGGAGACATGTCTCTCGCTGAAGAACGCGACACAGAGCGCGTACACGCGACATTTATAACTTCCGATCAACATAGGCGTAAAATACGAGTGAACGACAACGCTTCTAAATCAGCGGGTAAAAGACGTTTGATCAATTGGAACACACTGGAATGACTGACCTCGCAAAATTCTACTACGATCCTGCACACTATGCGGGATACTCTACAATAAAATATCTTTCGCGAGCAGCAGGACCTGGCTCCACGCGTGAAGAGATTATTCGTTGGCTTCAGGCACAGGATGCATACACACTTCATCGACCGGCACGGTATAAATTCCCGCGCTTGCATTATAACGTCACGAATATCGACGATCTGTGGGAGGCTGATTTGGTTGAACTCGCTAATCTCCGAAATTACAATGAGGGCTATTGTTACTTGTTGATAATCATCGATGTGCTTAGCAAATTTGTCTGGGTAGAACCAATACGAAGTAAGACTTCGGACAGTGTGACGGAAGCTTTTCGTCGCGTGCTCTCAAGAAGCAGAGGACGAGTACCAGTGTGGTTGCAGAGTGACAAGGGTAAAGAATTCGGGCAAACATTTCAAAAATTTCTGAAGGAAAAGAATATAAGTTTTCGCACGGTACGAAATCCGGATGTCAAAGCAGCGGTGATCGAATGCTTTAACAGAATGCTCAAAGAACGTTATGGCGCTATTTTAAACACAAAAATACACATCGCTACATAGATGTTTTGCAAAGCATCGTGCACGCTTACAATCACACTCGATATTCAACCATTAAAATGGAACCGGCAAGCGTCACGTTGGAAAATGCACGCATCGCTCGTGAACATATGCAGTAGCGATACCATCATCTCGATAAACTCGATCAAAGAAATCATAGTCGAGGAGCTAAATACAAAGTGGGTACACTAGTGCGCATCAGTAGAGCGAAAGGAGTCTTTGAGAAAGGATATGAGGCGAACTAGACAGAAGAAATATTTCGTATTCACCGTATCCTCGAGTGGCGAAACCCCTGTGTGTACGAATTGAGTGATCTGTCAGGTGAAGTGATCGATGGGATATTTTACGAGCAAGAACTAACCGGGGTAAACAAAAACTTACAAGAAGAAGAATTTATCGTGGATAAGGTGATACGACGCAGAGGAGCTAATAAAGAATTTTTCGTCAGCTGGCGGGGTTACCTTTCTAAATTCAATTCCTGGATAGCTGCTTCGAATATAAAACTGCTTCCAAACCATGATGGGGGAAAACCAGTTTCTCATGATACTACCGAGCAATAGCAGTATGCGACACTATCCCGAAAACACAACTACTTCATTTATTACGGAATTGCCTCAAGAAGTGAAGCTGACTGGCTTATGGGAAGTAGCGCTTACCGAAATTCAATACTCCTTTAGTTTTTTACACGTGTGCCCCGAGGAAGATACAGAACTCGTATTCATTTCATTGCCGCGAGAAAATATTAATACCAAAAACACCAAATCAGTCATCATAAAAGGTGACCATCTACCCAAATTAGGGTTTACCCGCATAATCTCCGGTGTTTACACCACAGTGAGCGAATTGTTACAGTCTTTAAACAACGCTAGCTCATTACTCAAAACGCACATTGCCTGGCGCCAGGATCCTCATCATCAAATAGATATAAGAGATCAGGTTGGTGAAAGAATACCATTTGAATTTGGGACGTTGACAGTTACATTACAATTTAGACGTCGTGATTAGCACGATATGATCCATTATTTAGAGTATTACGAAGCGCAATCCGGGGGGAGTCGCGGTGGTGGAATTCCGAGAGTTTTTGTAGGATCACAGTATCAGCGTGGTCATGGTATCGGCAGTTTTCTCGGTGGTCTGTTCAGACGCATGTTACCTTATTTAACCAGTGGTGCGCGTGTCGTTGGAAAAGAAGCTCTACGCGCAGGGATTAATATACTCGATGACGTGGAGAATAACACGTCGTTGAAAGCAGCTGTTAAAACACGTCTCAAGGAATCAGGCTCAAATCTCAAAAGAAGAGCGGAAGAACACATTAATAAACTGATGGAGGGGTTTGGATATAAAACGTCTGCGAACATCAGAAAAGCACAGTTTCCTTTCGTCACGCTAAGCGGATACAGCAGCAAATCATCTGCACCCAAACGTCTAGTCAACGCTTCTAAATCAAGTAAGAGTAAAGTGACTCGAAGAAACGTTCAGGGGAAAAAACCGTATAAGAAGCTACTGAAGAAGCCGGCTAAGAAGCGTTCAGTGAAGAAAAGCGAGAGAGGCCTTGCTAAACGTCGGGGAGTTATCAAGAAGCGTACCGTGTCAGATATTTTTTCCTAAACAACAACAACAAACGCCTGCTTTCGAAGTAT